GGATTGCGTGTGGTCCGCCAAGAAGCCTTTCTGATTCGTCCAGGGATCCCACTTGATCATTGAAGTCCCCGGCGACTACTACGACGTCCGTTGATTGAGCACTTTGGAGTAGCTGAATCACACAAATGTGTGTAATACAGAATAATCCGGAGTATATAATTCAGTGTCAGTCAGTCCTTCGCCTTGAAAAATGTGAAATCTGTTGGGTTAATCAAATCATAAGCACATGCTATACAGTCTTACCATTTCAATTGTAATATTGTTTGGCCTTATTGTTTCTGATATCCACAATAATCTCACTGATGAGTATCAGATAGTGTAAAGTAAGATCGATGAATGAAGTGTCAACTCGCACATAGAAGGCTCGATTAGCATTTGCCAACTTCGGACATCTTTTTGCACCGTCGCGATATTTGATAGTCTGTGAGGGGTCGAGTGTATACTGCAGCATTTAGACCAGTCCTGTTCTACGGCGCAGAGACTTGGCCATTTCAGAAACGGGATAGAGATAAATTGCCGGTGTTTGAACACCGCTGTCTACACCACATAACACGAGTGTGGTGGGGAAACCGAACAAGCAATGTTGAGATTAAGCGTAGAGTTTTAGATAATCGCGATCGCCCACTGGCGCAAGTGGTCGACCTCCATAGAGTACGCTGGTTGGGACATGTGTTGCGCATGCCACGAAATAGGTTGTCACTGCGTGCGATTTTTGCCTTGGCGGAAGTGGGTGGAAAACTCAAAAAGTTTAACTGAGACCTGGTATGAGGCTATGAAAACTCTAACCAGGAGACTTGCTCACATACGTTGTGTTAGGCTTCCTGGATGGAAACCTTGGCAGTATTGTAATCGACGATTAGAGACACTGTGACATGATTGAGTGTCGTAAACAGTGACACTGGTGTCCTCGCAGCATTAGTCTATGTTGTATCTTTATTTTCTCTTTATTACTGCTCTCAATATTCCCTTCAGTATTGTAGCCAAAAGACAGCAACCAAAACCGTGTCCTGAACTGGGGCGATTTCTCAATGCAGTAATTACTACTTTTTGCGTAGTCGAAACAAATTGCATTGTTTTATTTACTGGGTACTTCTAGGTAAGACTCGAGCACAGTTCGATGCCATCCGATCCACACCGGTTTGTTCATTTTTGTCATCACTTTCATTTCCCACTGGTTCTAGTTTGCTCTTCATCCCTTTTCCTTTCTCCAGCAAGCGACTCACCACAGTGTAGCCCCGGCCCGAGTTCAATGGATCAAACCTCGGCCTCGTTGCTCGTTCGTTGTCGCACGCTACTATCCCATCTTTGTTCAGATTCCCGATGGCCGCTGTGGGAGTCTCTGTTGTTCGGAATAACCACCGGATTGCCAGATCTCAAAAGTGATCCGTCCTTTCTGGCCCATCGCATACTGTGAGTTCCGAATCCCATTCTGTCCCCTCGACTAGACACTAATGTTGCTTATAATAATATACTTACAGATTCACTGCTGACATTGGGTCAAACGCTCATCGGATTATTTCCCAAGTCATTTGAGCTGCCCATGATCGACAATGCACGCGTTGGGAGACACGGGCTGCGGTCACACAAGCCGCTATCTAACTACTCTAAGGGTACTCAATAAATCTTTTTTTCTTTCTCTCGAGCTGAATTTTAAGATATGGTATCAAATATGAAGAAACTTCTTTATTCATAGTTCGAAAAATTGATATCAGAGGATTTGTATGGTTCGGTTATTAAATTCATTCGAAGAAAATATCTCGTGAAAATTGTCTGACAGTTAGCCTCGTCAATAGCAAATCCCATCTCCTCACCGGCACCGTTATTTATGCATTGTTGATCTCACGTAAGCAATGTATTTGTGGGTATCAGCATCGGTTGGGCTTTATTCAAGGTCGATATCAATCATCTCGGCCATCTTGGGTAGATTTTAGAACGACCACTTCTGCTTGAAAAAATGCATATAAACGTTGGACTGAACCAATCCTCTATTGACCAGAGTGATACACTTTCTTCGCCCCTTCCCTTCAAGCAGACACTCTAATCGGCACACACAGTCGTATTTACTTTGAAAGCTCACCAGTGATAGTTTTATTTTGTGGCTTGATGCTGAAGATTCATTCCGTTTGACTTTCGCGATTGTGGAGATTGCATCTATTGGTTTGTTTTTCAGTGAACACCTTGGTGAATTGGACGGGACCGTGATTGCCGCTCCGTTCCGCGACGTCCGCAGTTGGCAGCGCGAAGTATTTGACTTGACCCCGTCTGAGTCCTATACGGCTGCTTTCACCAAACTGGTCCTTTTGTTGGAACAGACGAAGTCATGTTCCGGTATGGCCCTCTCTGGACACGGACCAAACATATCCATAGAACAGGAGAATGGCGACTCGAAGATCTCGAACGCCGAAACCCGTAAGACTGTCTTTTTTCTTCGGTGTTAAGAGCTATCTTTTTCCACGTCGTTCACTACAGAACAATTTAACCCCATGGTCACGGGTTTACCTATGGTAATCGCTAACATAAGCCCTTGGACCAGGAATGGTGAAGCGCTGAATGCTCCAACAAGAAATACCCATTATTAATTTATTCTCAACTTTGTTTTTCTTTTCCACTCTACCACAAAAACAACAATCAACATCAGTGTTTACAAAACTGTCAATCCAGATAGTATCAAGCTGTGGTTAAACTCAACTGATCTGTCGCTCGGTTCGAATGCACACCGATCTTAGTGTGGTACTCAGTTTGATGGGGGCAAATTCCGTCACGAGCTCTCATTCATAATGGTAAACCGGAAACTTGGTTGACGAGCTGCGTAATAATACAATAGTAGGGATCCGATACAGGGGCTAGATTAATTGGCCAGTTACCAAGGAGAGATGTCGATAGCTGGGTTTGGGGATAGGGTCATATGAACAGATTTATTTGTCCCACAAAAGTAGTACACAGTAAATGTGTCAAACCCCAGAATCTGAGGATGAATGGTGCGAAAGTAACGCCTAATCTATAATCAGATTGTTGACTTTCTATTTTCAAGGGATCATGTCTTGTGTTACTGTCAAGGTAGAGTGAACTCGGAGGATGTTCCCCAGTTTTCACTTCTTCGGATTGCGATGAATCACCCCATGTCAAGGAGGTACGGTATAGTGGCCAAAGCTATAAATCACGCATGACTGCAGTGTTCAAGTAAGGGTTTTTGTGAACTTTTCATGTTGGAATGCGATAAATAGAGGGAATGAATCGTTCGTCGCAATTGAGAAAATACCTCTTACTTATTGCTCAGGTGACAAGCACACTTATTTAAGGTGAAAATGGACAGAAAATATATTGGTTGTTCCGGTGGTCTGAATGAGTTTGTAAAACCCATGATTTTTGAGTCCAAATTTGCTATGATAAGGACGAATTTCTTTTGAAGGAAATAAGCAGGTGGTAGGTTTTATAAACTTTGAAAAAGGCGCCTTTACCAGGACTCCAAAAACACATCAAGAACAGAATTAAGAGATATACTGATGAATAAACTTTTACTGGCAATAATTTAGACCTTTCTGCCAACGGGTCGTTATGCGACTCGTCACTCCTCGTCGCGTTGTTCACGGTACTGTTCATCCTCAATACACAGCAGATGTTCTTTATTTTGGACTTCACTCGTTAATACCGCATATCCTTTTAGGGTTTGTAATAAAAGATACCAGGTATGCAGATTACACTAGAGATTGTTTTTCTTCTTTAAGTGGGATATGTTGAACAAAGATGCGTTTGTCTAACGAGTTTCATTTGAACTGTGACCGACAGATCTGCCTTTATCCACTGGAGTGAACACGTGTGCGCACACTCATTCTAGAAGTGGCCTCTTCGGAGTTCGGGTGCCTACATTCGGTGTGAATTTCCTTGCCCAAACACTGACGGAGTTCATTGAGACCAAACTGCATTTCGCGCTGAGCCTGTTGGTCCTGCTCATCCGATATCAATTGAACCCGACGCTTCCAGATTATACATACCAGGGAGGTACAGGCATTCGTGTTCTGTGTGACGACTTAATAATGCGATTAACTCAGTTGATTCACGCCCTACGAATCCCACGCTGGCTTGGTCGGACGCGAATGGCTGCGCTACCGGAGTCCAAAAAGCTGTACGTATATCTTCACATTTTGGTTTGTTCTGCATGAGACGGGATAAATCGAGAGAACATGTCACACTTATTAATATTAATATTATTATTATTAATTATATTGTCTGATCCCTAGCTGGTTATGCAATTACACTTGCTTTTCGCTTCGAAGTCGAAGGAACGGTTGGCTACAGTGTAATTGCCTATTTTCATACTTCTTATTGTATATATCTACATTTTTTATCCTTGTTTTTTGGACATATTCATCGACTGGTATGAATTACTATATCCATTAAGGTTCTAGGTTCGTACCCCATCGTTGTTCATCGGGTCAAAATCATAGTGTTCTCATGGAATGTATTGCAGTTCCCTACTCGAAGTCTCCTAGTTCAGGTGGCTGGTCATCCTAATTGCATGATAGTGCATTGTGACAAAGGGATTTACCCCCTTCTATATGCCGTGCACTAAAAGTACTTGTAGTAGTACTTGTAGTTCAGCGGTTTCTGATTGCCCTGACCGGGTAGTAGATCATCGCCACTTGAGGAATTCGGGTCCGCGTGATAACTTTTTTCGATGTCTTATGTCCCTTCCTTCATTTATAGGTTCATTAATAATAAGAATAATATGGTCCCCTTCAATAGACGATTATGTAATCAGTTTTCAGGAGGGAGCAACCTAGTAATCGGTGGATTTTTGAAGGACGAAGGAATGAGATGAGTTATGTTTGTATTAATTTATGTTCACATGCATTTCTGGGACCTACATCACAGAAAACAAATATGCATGCCTTTGAATGGGCATCTGTCACTCATGAGTATACTTTTTGTTTCGAAGGAATTACTGAAATCATTCTCAATTTATTTGCTCCTACTGACAGAGCTTGTAATAACGTGTCGTTTTCTGTCTATGCTCGCAGATCTGAAATTCGGGAACATTTAAATATATTGGGTCTCGCGCGGAGCGAGTCAAGAGATGATCCGAACTGTGAGCTGATTGAGCTAGACGCGAACATAGCAACGCAATTTCCGGGTGCGACGTTACTGGAACAGATTTTATTCACTTGGTTATCCGAAGTTCCTGCGTCACAGTGGTTGCCGGCTACCGATGAAAATCACGCCCGTCTGGTGGAGCGTCTCGTCCGACCGTGGGCGCTTCGATGTGGAGTGTTGTTACCTCGCCTGTCGGTAGAATTGAATCCGCTCACCAATTACGGACTGGGTCTTGCCCGTGTATATCGGCATTTACTTCTCGGTGGACGTGTAAGTCGGTCGCAGTCGTGTTCCGTTGATCTTGTGTTAATTGTCATTCCCATTTGGTATTTCCGTATGAGATCTTTCCGCGAGAAGCTGAGTTATCTTGTGGTTTGCCAAGTTTGGCAAATTTTGCGATAAGACGTTTAAAACGGGGTTTACAATAATTTATCTGAAAACCGGTTTTGGTTGCTCTGCAATAAATTGTGATAGGGAGAAACAGAGCTTTTTTCAATTGAGTTGAATTTCTGTCATATTTAAGTTGTTTTCCCTCACCGACTAACTGAAGACACCAAACTAATCGTATGTTTAGTATTATGTTACTAGCCCCTAGAACAGTGGTATTGTATTGTAGTGCTTTAATTTAGTCAAACCTCATTTGAAGTTTTCTAGCTTTTTCGTGCACCACACGAGTTCCCAACTGAACCTCTACTCTGCAACGCACATCAATGCGAGGAGTGACCTGAAGAGATCTAGTCATCCGACAACACCGGACACAGTTGGAGAATTTTCTTCGTATCGGTCATTCTAATGGCGTTTTACCTCCCTATATTGCTAACACGGTCATTTCATTCTGCCATATCCGGGTTTCGCATATCAAGACCTGTCCGAACAAAAAACAACGCTTCTGGAGCCAATTTTACATGTAATTACTGTTCCCGTTCACGAAAGAGCAAAACCTTGAATCCCCCCCCCCAGACGAAACATGATGGAGATATCACGAAACGAATTGCCGAGCCCCCCACAAAATCTGTCAAGATTCCAGAGTAATGGCATAATTTTCCCAAACAGGTACCACAGAACGATAGGAATTATTGTTTTAACACTTCATGTGCAGTATAGTGATTAAGCAGGAGACTCGTTTGCACATGTGACTAGAAAGCGATTTGTTACATGAGAGTAGTGAGCAACATGATTTACTTGTATGGTGAATTCCGTCGTGCCTAGACCAAGGGAAGTGTGAAGTGGAAAGCTAGGAAGCACTGAAAATCACAACGAGACTGCACGTTGACGTGGTGTGATGGCTTGTGCACCTCTGACCCAACGAGCTACACAGGATAGCTTTTTTCAAGCCAAAGATCTAATGCTGCCTGGAAGGTCGACGGGTAGAGGTCGGACGAAGTCCAATCTCCTGGTCCTCCAGGTTGAGGGTTCGACTAGAATTTGCGTTTCGGTCGGTAAAAAAATGGTGGAGGAGTAATTGATTCAAGTAAATGGGTCACCACTTCGCGTCACCCGTTACCTTGCGCTAGGTTCTTGTCAGAACTGAAGGATTTGGTTGAGAACCCTAATCGTCCTCCTGCTTAGTGGTTGGACACTCTAGCAGTACCCGTCCATCAAACCCCGATGCATTTGCATTGCGAGTTTGGCAGCGATCAGTCAATTTTGCTTCCTTGGTTTTCGGTGTACGATGATGATGATGATGATAATGGTTCGAATTGATCGGTTCTCGTCAATGGTACGAATCCGTGGACCTAACTAAGGATCAAACGCGGGACCTCTAAAGTTGAGCACAATTATGCTGCCCACTTGACCACAGGACAGGAGTGTTACAAAATATGGGATGTCCATAGGTTGTAATGCTACGCTAATTTTCGATTACTTTGACTGTATGAGGGGGATAATTTTACTGTTCCCACCCGAAGCTTTGACGGGAAAATCAGATTATCAAGACGGCAAGATGGCGCTCGGAGTCCACAATCAGTTGGTGGTGGGGGTGGTGTTCAGGAAATCGGATCTCATAT